GTTAAACAAAGAAATGATACTCTAGGGAATGACATATGGTCTGAAATGGGAAGATATTATGCCCAAGGTAAAGATTGAGGTCTATTTACTTATGTAACCAGCTTCCTTACCTGTCCTGGAATGCACCATCTTTTGGTCGACATATTGCCATCTCAGCATGCCCTTTTCCCCCTGGTCCYTTCATCTTGATGAATTCTACCGTTGACTGTCCTTTCCACCATCCCATGGAAACCTTTTGAGCCATCTTAGTAGCTACACTTGCCTGAGTACGACAAAAAAAGTTGGTGGATGGTGGGGTAGAGTGGGGGAGGGGGATGAACAAGAGCTTACCCTTCCCTCGTAGACTTTCTTCAGTGCCTCGAATCTGATTGAACCAAGGAATATCACTCCTTGGATGGAATCTGTCTGTTGATTGCCACATAGGAATTCACTTTAAAATATTACACTTTTACTAAACCATGAAACAATGTCTGCTTAAGAAAAGAAAAATGTCTGGTTACCTTATCATGGGCCACTAATTCAACACACACCATTTCATTATCTTTGATTGAAAAATCTTTAAAGACCTATCAATGAAAAGAATTTGATCATTTAAGAATTAATAAGACTAAGATGGTATCATTGTACTGACTTTTTACAGGTTGTTCTTACCTCTTCAAAATTATCAATTATAAAAAACATATTTGGATAAGATATTTCTGTTCCTTCGCCCTTGCTATCCATCCTGTAAGGACAATTGATCCAAACAATTCCTGATGACGACGATTTGATAATAATAAACATAGTAACAACAACAACAACAGCAATGACAATGACAGCAGAAACAACTGCAATGACAGTAGCATTAGCAATGAAAGCAAAAAAAAACAAAAAAAAACAGCAGCAATAACAATGGCAGCAGAAATAACTGCAATGACATTAGCATTAGCAACGAAAGCAAAAAAAAACAAAAAAGACAGCAGCAATAACAATGAGAGCAGAAACAACTGCAATGACAGTAGCATTAGCAACGAATAGCAAAACAAAAAACAAAAAAGACAGCAGCAATAACAATGGCAGCAGCAATAACTGCAATGACATTAGCATTAGCAACGAAAGCAAAAAAAAAACAACAGAAGCAATAACAATAACAGCAGCAGCAATGACAGCAGCAACAACAGAAACTACACTGCTGCATGAGCAGCAATATCAACAAAGGTAACTATCAAATGATAAGTATATTAATTTTTTACTAACCTTCTTCTATTTGGAGATGCATAAACTTTCTGATGTTAAGAAAAGAAAGAAAGAAAACAATATTTTTCAGCATTTTTATAATTATGCAACCTGAGATCCTAAATAAATGGACCAAGACCTATGGCCTTGGAAGGTTGAAGAACAATTTTTTACCTGTGATATTCTTCGTAGTATTCTTAATTCTTTCTCTAGTGGTTTTGTACAGACTGCACATGTCAGGATATATTCAAACTGAAACAAGGAAATGATATCAATTTAGACAATAAAAAATCCCAGAATTTAGTGATGAAGATACTCGTAATGATGAGTTTTGAGATATTCCAAAATTGAGATAAAAACTGGTTTGAGTTGGCATCGCATTTTTGATTTAGGGGACCAATTCATTTCCAAGATAGTGTCTCTTTCATCCCCTAAAACTGTCCCAAATGCACTGCAATGCCATCTCAACCCAGCTTTTCCCCTCAGCCTCAGGATGGCTAATAGAAAAATATGATAATGGTGACTGGTACTGTTTTATATACCTGATGTAACACAAGATTAAGACAAACTGTTTCTTCCCAGTTGATGTCAGGATCTCCTAAGCTAAATCCAAAAAAATCATAATTAACTGCTATTAATTAACTCATTGGCGATGACGAGGTAGGGGTTAGGTGCTCTCATGCCACCACAAGGGATGCGCCAGTCCTAGTGACAAAGGAGGTAACCATGGCAACTATCCATGGCCACCACCTGGTATCAGTCAAAGTCCATTTTCTCTCTCTTCTCATTGGCCAAAAGGGTGTCATGCAACAGTCATGAAATGTTACTGTTTCCTGGCAACAGTCTTTATCGTCCAATAGTACATTTATTCAATGGGGAACAATAAAACATAGACTCCTCCACAGTCTGTCGTTTTCACCGCCATCTTGAAAATATTGAAACGAGAGAGACTGTGGACAAGTATTTTGGTTCCCATAGCATGCTGGGTCCAAGTTTTTGGGACCCATAAGTCCTTTTGGTCATTGTACTGTTACAGTCTCTAAGCGTGGAGATGGAACGGACAAGCGAGAGACTGTGGAAGAGTCTACAATAAATCAATAATTGCTTTCCAATTCAAATTCTCCCACCCCTACCCCCCTCCTCCCCCAACCAACGCCAAACTCTTTTCCCACTCATGCCATACTACAACATAATACCTGGGAAGGTTTTTAGCATCTTTTCTGAAGACTGCAATTCTGGCCTACAAAAAATAGAATTTTGAAAATTTTAGTAAACATTGCAAGATGGAGAAAAATATAATTGTGAATATGATGATACAACAGCAGCTCAAAATAAACGATCATCACATAATTAAAATAATACTGCCTCAAGTATCTTCCGCTGAAGATAATAAAACAGTCAATTTCGTACTAATTACATACTTTTAATTAAGCGTAAAAATATGTTTCGCAATTTTATTAAATCAAATTAAAAAATATTTCACCTAATATTTATAACATCGAATATAACCTTTAATTCTGAACAATTTTCATACAATTAATGTCTGAAATTCATCAAAAGTAATAAGATATTCAAGAAAAAAATGTCAATAAATTTGACACTCGCAAAATGAAACCTTACGTCAAGTTTAGGGTTGATCCCTTGTTTAACTTTACCTCAGCCGTTCTTGAGCTACTTTCACTTTTACTTCCAGTATTCCCCTTGACGTAGAACAACAGGTCGTCTCTACTTTCGTCGTTGTTGTTGATAAAATACTGTGAAAACAGCCTCGTCCAAAACGATTCGATTGCCAACACTACAAACCCTCCTGTTAAAAACACGACCAAAAATCTTAAAATATCTCGAATTAAAATACGAAAAACCTTCAGATAATTGCAAGGACGATTGACATACCGTCGCTGACTTTGTCTATATTTTTTCGTCGTCTTTCTCGGCATATGTTCTCGAGAATCGTACTAAAATTCCGACCAACTTGAGCTTCTTGTTTCTTGTTGGCCGCCATCTTGAATGGACTGTCCATCACGTGACCTGCGGGGAGCGATCTGGACGAGAGGGACTGGGTATAGACACCGAGACGAGGCTAGACAACAAACAAGATGGCGGACGATACGTGGAAAATTTTCCTTTGATTTGATCTTATTGTCACCCCTTTCGAAAACCAGTGCTTTGATCTCTAAAATACCTCTGGTACTATATAATTCAGATATCTAGTAGCTCTCTGGACAGGTTTATTTTAGTCTGCAGCTGTCTTTTGGTCTGGATTTTTGGACTCACTTTTGCTTATAATTCTGCTTGAGATGAGGTCATATTTGGATATGGTTTGAACAACCATGGAAAGAAAATCAAGATCTGAACTAATAAGGATTATCGAGGAAAAGAGTGAAAAGTTGAGCCGTTATGAGACAAAGTTGCGAGGTGATCTTTAGATATTTATTGTAACGTTTAAGAAATTGATGTTTGTGCTTTTGTGTCTGATATCTTGTTTAAGTTGAATTGCGTGTCCAAACTGTAAGGTCGTCGTAAAAGGTAAGGTGTTATTTTTCTTAAAGAAAGCTGCCAGTTTGGTTCAAAGTTGAATTTAATAAGTGGTGTTGCTGATAATAATGATATTGATGACGGTGATGATGACATTGAGGCATGATGATGATTACAGATGGAGGAGATGGTGATGGTAGTTGATGTGTCATTAAAGAGAATTAGAATAGTGATGGTGATTATGTTAATGATGAGAATTTTGATGATAGTTGATAAAATGATTGCTKACGTGATAATAGACCAATTTTGATGATAACAATATGATAACGATGATGATGGTATAAATGATCGTGATGATACTGAATGATGGTAATGATGAGAGTACATGATGATGATAGTTTTGGTGATTTTGATGGTATGATGATGATGATAATGGTGGTATGATAATGATGGTGATAATGATAGGTTGATCTATGATGATAGAGATGCTGACATATCTATGACAATGGTTATGGTAGTGATCCTGATGATGATCCTGATGAGAAAATAATTTATTGTAGATGTTGTCAGTGCATACAAAAATTTGGTGAAAGAAAAAGAAGCTCTGGATGCAAGCATCAAGGTTTTAACATCAACACAACAAGCTTCTCCAAAACCTACAAGAACAAACCGGAAAAGAACTGAGGGTACTTCAACAGATGGCCTCAACCAAGATCAGAAAAATAAAGAAAAAACACCAGCTTCTTCTCCGTTGACAGAGGAAAACCAAGAGACATTTAATGATGGCAAATTTGTATCTGTCAATGATCATCCTTTGAGGGAGAATTCACACGAAGATACAAAAAACGAGAATGAAAAAGACAAAAAAAAGACAACAGAGCTGGAGGAAGAGAAAAATAGTGATGGAAATGATGTCGATGATGATGACAATGATGACGAAACAAAATTGTTAAGAGAAAAAATAACAACTTTGACATCAACTCTTAAGACTGTAATGGAACAAAAATCAATCATGGAATCGAATTACCAAGCAGACAAGAAGAAAATGATGGTAGGTGTTGCAACCAAACAGATAACAAACTACAAATTCCCTACCTCCTATATTTCCTATCCATCCTTTTCCCATCTATTCATTTCTCATCCATGCATTTCCCATCCTTCCATTTCCCATCCATCCATTTCCCATCTTCAATACCCAATGCATTAATATTATCCAAGTATGACAACTTTTTTCTCTGCTCTATTTCTTTTTTCTTCCCTAAAAATGTTGCACTTTTTTGCCCCTTGATCCCTCTTGCTGCTCATCAAACAATTTCTTAGTAACTTTGGTGCAACTTTTGTGTTTTCTATTGGTATCTTGCAGCAAGATTTTGGAGCAAGGCAAGAAGAATTATTGAAAGAAAATGAGGCACTGTCAAAGAAGGTGATAGAGGTTGAGAATCAACTGAAAGAGGTGAACTGTCGCACAAGTTTTTCATAGTTATGATTAGTTAAATTTCATTTGAGTACCACGTTCTGCAAAGACACTGCCAAGTCCAGGAATCAAACCTGAGACTTCAGATGTGAGGCGAGTGCTGTCACTAACACTATGCCACCCTTGGTTCACATATTAAGTAAATTGCTTTGGTCTACTTAGGCTAAACATAGAATGAGACAAGAACAGCAGTCACGAGAAGAAGAAGAGAACAACAACATCCTCATGCTACGAGAACTACAAGTTCTGCTTTCAAAGGAACGTACAGCAAGAGAAGAACTAGAGCAACAACTCGATGAAGCAAAAGAAAAACTCTCAAATACAAAATCAATTCCAGAAAGCAAAGCTTTGGAATATGAACACCAAATCCAGAGCTTGAAAGAAAAACTTGAAGAGATACAAACAAGACTGATGAAAGCTGAAGAAACTGCTACAAAGCCTTCCCCATTATTGTTAAGGCTACAGGAAGAAATGAAGGAAATTAAAAGAGAAAATGCGGAGGCACTATTAAGGGAGCAAAAACGTGCAAACGAAGCTGAAGAGAAGCTTGAGATGATTACCAGTGTGGAAGAAAGTAGAGTTTCGGATTTAGGTTCGTATTCTGTGTCGATATTTTGAAAGTACAGCTAAGAAAATCAGGAAGGATAGATTTTAAATATTGATGCAGAATAAAATAAAAATCGTCCTTGTTTTACGAGGGTAGCACTTATGGCAGCCAGTGGCTAACAAACATGTGGCTCTTGTTCCATAATGGAGTTATAATTTAGAAGTTGATTTTTGCGGAGGGAGAAAAACTGGAGAACCCGGAGAAAAACCCTCGAAGCAGCACAGGAGAGAACCAACAAACAACTCTACTCACATCTGATGGTGACTCTGGGTATTGAACCTGCCAAGACAACAGTGGTGACAGGCAGCACATTGCGTCATTGATTCACTATGTACCAAGTTTAATGCTAATGCCCGTGCTTTTATGCTTTCAGAGACCAAACTTTCCGAACTTTCAGAAGTGGTTGGTAATTATGAGAAACTAAAGTTCCAAGACCAGATGGTTATCCAGAAACTTAAAGAACGTTTACAACAGTTGGATGTTGAAAACACAGCATTATCACAGAACAGTCCAACAACAGAAATACCTGATAATAATAGACAAACAGTGAATGAATTAGAGTCACTGAGAGAACAGATGCGTAAACTGAAAGTAGCATCGAAGTATGCAGTGGAGAATTCGTCCCTTCTTAAAGAAGGAGGTGAGTGTAGACATGCACCGGGGGGTGGGGGCTGAAGTTGGGAGGCAAGGATGGGTGGATGGATGGATGGATGCATGGATGCATGGATGCATGGATGAAAGAAAGAAAAAAGGGAAAATGGATGTATGGATGAAAAGTTGAAGGAAGGAAAAAGGGATTTGCAGGGATGGATGTATGGATGTGGACAAATGATCATAGTAGAAGTGATGGATGGATAGAAGGAGGGTGGGAGATGAGATGGATCGATAGTTCTTGAAATGATTCTGAAAATGATTGTCCAACTCTGTTTTTATTTTTACAGATCTCGAAGAATTAAGTAAATCAGAACTTGATTCTATCCTTAATTCAGATCCTACTCACAAACTTTGTCAGGAAGAACTGAAGCAGTTGAAGGACGAGTTTGAATTGTACAAAGCGAAAACGAACCCACTGCACAAAGGCAAGTCGTTCAAAGACCTCACTTCTCAGCTGGAAAACCTTGAGAAAATAAAAACTAGAAACACAAAACTAGAGAAAAGAATCCATGAAATGCAAGAAAGTGCTAAACAGAAAGAAACAGAGTTAAAGAAAATCATTTCAGATTTAAAATCCGAGCTTCAAAATGCCGAAAATTCTTTAACAAGTGAAAAAGAAGAATGTGAACTCATCTACAATCAAAAACTTGCTGAACTGGAAAAACAAGTTTTGAAGCAAAGAGAACGAACTTTAGAGCTTTTAGCTGAAAAGGATGCAGAGATCAACTCACTCAGAACTCGAAGTCCCAGTGCAAGCCCCTCACGGGTAGGGACAGTATCGTTTTCGTATCCACGTCGGTATTTGGATCCTCAGTTGATGGTACCGAGCGAGAGTTTGGAACTAGGTGGTGGTGAGTCAAGTGAAGATACCAATGAAGCTGTGTGTCAACTCATTACTAGGCAGACTGGCGTAAGTATTGGTAAACTGAGAGGGGTGGGGGTAGATGCAAAATTTTGTCACCATAGGGGTTGGTGTGCGGAAGAAGGTTCCCTTTTCAAACCTTCAAATTTCTTATAGATAGTTTTTTACTCTGATATTTTCAATCAGTTTGTGCAAAAACAATCAGCATATGCAAAAAAATTGCATTGTTCACTATTCTACGACATGGCTGCCCTAAAACCACTGTATTATCGTACAATGATTCTTATCTCTTTTCACTAGTTGTCCTCTGGGGAGGGTGTTCTGATTCACTACGCTCAGCAACAAGCGAGAAGAGAAGCTGAAAGTACTGCTCTAAGAAGACAGAAAATAGAACTAGAAGATGAACTACGAGAGATGGCATTAAGGTGAGGGATGGAGAGAGCTCAATATATCCCTAAAACAAAACCATTGTAATCTATAAAAAAAATAATTTTTTTTCAAAATGTCAGCAAAAAATTGCTAGTTACGAATAATGAAATAAAAATCATAGGATAAAAGCTGCAAATTCGGCCTAAAAAAACGTCTATGATCCGTACAATCCAGCCAGCCGAAGTCCAGTCCATCTACGTCCGGTTCCGAATTTTCCAAAACTAAAAAACACCCAAAATTCGGGCATCTGTAAAAGGAAAACAAGTTTTTGAAGTTGGGCATGTTTTTGCTATACATAAAGATTATCCATGGCCTTTCAAAATGTGAAAATTCAAAAATACTTTTTTTTGGTAATTTAAGATTCAGTACTGACTGACGCCCAGTCACTTGCAATCCATTTCAGTCACATCTAATCCATTCCCATCAAATCCAAGTAACATCCAATTTATCTTAATAGCATCTTAATGAAGAAAAATTAGTTGTAAAATTCTGTAACGATCCACAGTCACTTATAGACACATGRTGTGTACAGTCCTTTGAAAAACCTTTGCAGATGACCGGCTTCACAGGAGTTAAAAAAAAATTCAAAAATTTTTTGCATTTTTTTGCACGATTTCGGACTAAGATCATTAGTTATGAATAATAAAATAAAAATCATAGGATAAAAGTTGCAAATTCGGCCTTAAAAAACGTCTACGATCCGTACAATCCAGCCAAATGAAGTCCAGTCCATTCCATCTACGTCCGGTTCCAAATTTTTCAAAACTAAAAAACACCCAAAATTCGGTCATCTAGAAGAGGAAAACAAGTTTTAGGAGTTGGGCATGTTTTTGCTATACATAAAGATTATCCATAGGCTTTTAAAATGTGAAAATTCGATTAAAAAATTTTGGTCGATCTTCACGATCCCGAAGTCCAGTTCATTCCATCAGGAAATTTCAGGAATCTAGAAGCGCAAAAAAGCTACAAATACGACTCACTAAACTTACCGATTCATATGTGGCTTTATATAATTAATGCAATAGGACCACATGCTTTTTTGCAATTTGGGAATTTCTATAACTAAGTCAGTCTCCCGCAATTATTTTTTTTCCGAATTGCGCAGCACGTGGTCCTATTTCATATTAAGAATATTAAAAATACTCAAAATTTTACGCTTTTTTCTTTACAGGGAAGCAAGACAAGGGGATCAATGCAAAACACTGAAAGAGGAAATCAGAAAACTTGAACGAGATCGGTGAGCAACCCCCACCCCNCCCGACCCCAACCCTCCAAACAACAACAAAATTATCAGCCTTTGACGTCTTGCATAGCTTCATCGCAATGCGCGATAGGATTTATATTTTATCTAGAGGTATGCCATGCCACACTAGTACTACAGTCCTTGAAAATGGGGCAATTGGAAACACAAATCTAGCTGATGCAAAGATAAAGAGGCAGACAGACAGACAGACAGGCATAGACAGACAGACAGACAGACAGACAAACAGTCAGGTACACAGACAGACAAACAAACAAACAGGCATAGACAGGCATTTATAAACAGAGAGACAGACAGAAAGACAGACAGACAGGCAGACAGGCAGGCAGGCAGGCATAGAAGGCATTTGTAAACAGACAGACAGACAAACAAACAGGCATAGACAGGCATTTATAAACAGAGAGACAGAAAGACAAACAGACAGACAGTATCTTCCAAGTATTTTCGCCGCAAACCAATTTTTTTTTAAATCTTTCCGCCACAGGTCAAGGGAAAGTGCCAACCTTGAGTACGTCAAAAATGTCGTTCTTCGCTTCATGTTGTCAACGAGCTACTCCGTTAAAGAACAAATGATCGTCGCCATAGCAACTGTTTTGCAGTTCAGTCCTCAAGAGGTAGGATTGGCACGACAATTTAACCCTTTCCCCTTTCCCACAGTCAGTTAATCCTCACAAAGATTTTAAATCTATTGCGCATGCTTAGTCACGAACTGCTGACCAATAGGAATACGGGCGTAATTGACTACACGTGAAACGCATTGCGCATGCGTATTAAATGTTTTTTAATAATGAATAATAATAATAAATTAGTAATAATTGATATATATTTACATTTCGTCCTTTTCAGTTACAGAAAGTCAGGAAGGCGCATGCTGGAGGATGGTGGGGTTCAACCTCATGAATTATTAATCTATTAACAGCTATTAATAATTACTAGTAATGATATATAAATTTAATTAATATGACTTTATGTATAATGTTTCAAGAATAAAGGATAATTTTGGATGACCAAAAATCAAAGCGTGCTTCTACTGTCAAAGGGCTACCGCTCTCAACCAATCAAAAAGCAATATAGTCTTTAAGTTGTGACGTATTTCCTGGTCGATCTCCTGCTCACAAATAGCCGCGAAAAATGTACGGGTTTTTAATGATTTCACGTCCATCTGACATAATTAGGACTTTGGTCAAGAAACCTTGTCATGAAGGAAAAGTATGAAAAATCTCTATAAAAAAAGCATTTCATTTTGGACCCGGAAGTCGTTTTTGATGCGATTGTCGTCACACTGAATAGCTCTATACGAAAACGCAGTCAACCAATCATGGGCCTCAATTTACGAAAGTCAATGGATGTGCTTCCTCTTGAATAACCACGTGGTTTTGCTGTACGATAGTTTACTGTGACTTCATCACCTTTTTGCAGGTCAATGTGTTACTGTCTCAAAACAAACGACGTCATTTTGTAGTTGCGATTTTATTTTTTTCCCGATTCCAACGAAGATTATAAAATATCCAAAAGGTAAATATATTTTGTTCACATTTTTCAGTGCTTTTGTTAAGCTTTTCTGTTTAAAGTATTGCTTTACGCGTTTTGGCTTTTTCAAATCCTTTCAAGACAGCTTTTTTTTCAAAAAAAAAAAAAAAAAGAAAAGCCAAAGTTGCTGTTAATGCTGGACCAGAATTTCTTGAATTCTGGAAGTAATGAGGAATAAGCTCCTTTTATTTACGCAAAATGTTACAAGGAACATGTTAAATATAGGCTTGTTAACGGAAAGATTCTTCACTCAGTTCTATCGAACCATGAATAAAAAGCCTCTAGGTTGATTTAAGTTAAGGGCTCAGATCTTTTCGAAGGGAGGAAAACCGGAGAACCCAAAGAAAAACCCTCGAATCAAAAGAGAGACCCAACAATCTCTACTCAGATCACATGTGATGGAGAGACCAGGAAACGAACCAGAGACCCTAGAGGTGAGAGGCGAGTGTACTACTACTACTACACCACCCTTCGGATTTCAACCTTCACCCATGACTTTAGGTTTACGAGTTTATTCAGTCTGAATGACCTGCATTTACAGTTAAAAAACAATGGTGAAACTCTACACTGTCTTCCAAGACAAAAAGACAATCAAAAACGCAGCGGCCATCTTTGCAGTCGTCGCCTTCGAGCAAGTCGTCAGCAAATACGGCATCAATTGTCGTAATGCTTTGCTATGGTTACTCGTTCCTCCGTGCGTTCTCTTCGTCGTCACTCTCATCAAATCCAAGAACGTCCTTCTTTTGATGAACTCAAGAACGTCCAAGGAAAAATGCCTGAACATCGAGATGATCGGCCATGGAGTAGCTGCGTTTCTTTACATGTTTATGCCTTCAATTGCTTGGGTTATTTCTGCTTTTCTCAACTCAAAGATTTGGATTTGTTATCGTGCGGGCTTCGACGAGTGTGGTGTGGTTCGTCCTTGTACGAAAGACGAAGAATTCGCTTGGCATCGAGTGCAGAGAGAAGCAAAATCAGAGGCGCAGAATTTTGGGCTATTACTGTTGACAGGTAAATTATGATTCATGTCTTATACTTCCTCTCTCGCTATTTGGTTTCAATCCACTGAGAAAAGGAGCTGTCTTGGAAAATCCAAGGTCCAGGGGTGCTTAACGTTCAGTAAGGCAATCCATCCGGTTGGAAATTCCGGATTTCCCGTAATGGTTAGGAAAGCGCGGGAAGCGTGACTTTGACGTATGGTACACGCGTTTACCAAATGAACAGAAAAGACTGAGCTGGAAAAGTGGATGGCCTCAATCAGAAGACCAACTGAAATTTTTGTTTTTTCCGGCCCCATAGATTATTACCATTATCATTATTATTAATAATATCAATCTATTATTATTGATAGGAAGTGTCATTACCTTAGCTATCATCACCTGGGGCAACCATCTACTTTGCGCTCGGCCAGTTAAGGAACGAGAGCTCAACGAACTCGTGCGAGAAGCGACCAGAAGTGAACTGGAAAGATTTGTCATTACAAGAGCCAAAGAAAGGCTTGAAAAACTTGGAGAACACAAGGTGATTGTCGCATGCCTAAGATAAAATATAGTAACAAAGTGTATTGTAATATGATTTAAGTCTGCCCATAAATCCCCTATATACAAGCGAGGCTTTTCCTCTTCAATATTAAACATAACCTCTCCTTTGTAGGATGAAGAAGAATCAGGAAAGCAGTCACGGCAATTCAATGAGAAGGAAGTTGGTTTTGAAGTGCGTGACGAAACCAGTATTAACCAATCACTGGAGCTCAATAAGGTCACGTGGTTAAAGACAGTTGACAAGAAGATTGACACATATCTTGACGAGTACCTGTCACTTGGTACTGTCAAAATGATTTACCCAGAAGTCTAAAAATAAATCTTATTTTTACCACTTCTCTTGTCTTGAAATAACAGCTATGGGTTTGAAAACAAAATGAAGGTTTGATTCTGCTGGGTGTAAAGATTCCCCACATCAAATGTCTTGGGAGCAGGCCTAATCACTTCACCCATTTCAGATCATGTGTTATTCCCTTGAGTATTATTTCTTTTCTTTATGCTGCTACGTGGCGGCCATTTTGGAACCATTTTGGAGCCCCCTTTGTAAATCCTGGATCGCCCTGCTTGGGAATGCTTGTAACCCATAGATTTATTATAATAATATGCATAAATGGTTAATGTATAAATTCAGGACGGCAATCTTAGTAAAAAAAATTGCCAAGCAAAACTAGTGACAAATGTATTTGGTAATACCGAGATGAGTTTGCGCTATGTTTTGTGATGCTTGAACCTCAGAGGAGGCCGGTAATCCTTATCATGCGACCAAAGGCTTTCCACCCTAAGTATTAGTGGTTTCGCCGATTTCTCTGGTTAGGGATTCCTGTGGTACAGGGGTAGCTGTTTATCRACAGAGCACAGGCAGCCCAAACAAGGTTCCAGTGTATGGTTTATAAGGGAATGTATGGGAGTTATGATTAAGGTCATGAAAATTTACTTTGTTCAGTCTTCTGGCGAGGTTTCAGCGCGATTTGAGGCGTTTAGTGTTTTTTTTCAAAATCCGCTCTTCTCTAAACGGCCTCAAATCGCGCTGAAACTTCGCCAGAAGACTGAACAAAGTAAGTAGTACAGGGGACGGGGGTTCCAAAACAGTGACCATCCGAGGTTTACCCGCGTTTGTAGAACCTCGGTTTACACCAGGAATACCCGCATCCCATGTCTACGTAGTTAAATATGTTAGTCTATATATGGAGTGCGAAGATTGTAAGAGAACTTTTAAGAGAGAGGCAGACTTGAAGAAGCATTTGAAGATGAAGAAGAAATGTATGAGTAGTTATGATTGTGGGTGTGGTAAGAAGTTCGATACAAAGGTTAAATTGTATTGGCATTGCCAGGACTGCTAGTATGACTACGACGATCTGAAAAGGGCTTGGAATTAAGCATAAGATATTCCCTATTATATATGGAATCCCAAACCAACTTCGAGACGGTGCCAATACCAGGTAACGGTGAGATTGACGTCAGACAGTTTTGGCGTCAGTCAGAAAGGAAGGTCAAAAGGACACTACGAAAAGGCATAGAAGAACTAGGAGCCCTGAAAGCGAGCATAATGGTAGAAGTAAGTCTGTCAAAAGATGAGGTAACGACGACAGAAATGCTGCGATTGAAGTCACTGGTCATATTTGAGTCCACAAACCTGGATAGATCGCTTAATGAAGCCTTAGAAGCAATTACAGAGACGCTCGCCAACTACACGAGAGAAGGATCAGGTTGGATAGTGGAGGAGGTAGAAGGTATGGAGGTTAGCTAGGTACGTGCCAATACGAGGAGGGAGTTACGTACCACTACCAACGTGGGTAGAAAGGAAGAAGGCCATCGTTAACGTAAAGAATGACGACAACCGCTGCTTTATGTGGGCAATACGATCCGCACTGTATCCAGTAGACGAGAACCCCTGCCGAACAAGTAAGTACCCAACAGATGATTTGGAGTGGGACGGCGTGGAGTTCCCAATGCAGTTGCTAGACATTCCCATATTTTAGGAGGAGAACGACCTAGCAATTAACGTTTACGGAGCCAGAGACCAAACGATAGTACCACTGGTGTTGTCAAAGGCAAAAGGAGAGCGCATACACCTCTTCTACTACGGCGGGCACTACTCATGGGTCAAACATATTAGCAGACTGTTTTACAGACACACCAAGCACAAGGGCAAGAAATACTTCTGCGATTGCTGCTTATTATCGTTTACCTCCTTAAAGTCCTTAAAGGACCACGACGAGATTTGCCGCGGCGTAGAGGAAGTAGCGCAACGGATCCAGCTGCCAACGCAAAAGGAGTTAGAGTACGCAGACCATAAGAAGCAAACCCGAGTGCCGTATGTGATTTACGCAGACTTCGAAGCAATCATTACCAAAGAAGACCAAAGGAATGGTGCCACGAAAAGGCTGGGATTGCACGAGATCTGCTCTTACGGGTACATCGTAGTACGTTCAGATGGACAAACAGATGGACCAGTCATTTACAGAGGCAAGAACGCAGCCAACGAATTCCTAGAAGCGCTGAGGGAAGAGGAAGAGAAAATAAGGCGACATCTGAGGAAACCAAAGAAGGTAGCATTTACCAAAGAAAGCCAGGAAGCATATGCGAAGGCAAAAAAAAATGTCWTRTATGCAAGCAGCGCCTCCTACAATACGGCAGGCAAGCCAAGAAAGTTTGGGATGAGGAGGGTAAATACCTAGGAGAAGCGCACTTCAAGTGCGGGACGTACTACAAGGAAGGTGAGAAGCCAGGCAAGCCATCAACGCACTGCATTCACTTCCACAAAAGATTCGTAGAAGACTTCTACATGGATAAGGTACTGGATTACAACCAAGGGACGGGTGAATACGTAGGAGCAGCCGACTGGAGATGCAGAACGCATTTGGACCCCGACATGGAGATTCCCGTGTTCTTTCACAACCTGCGCGGGTACGACTCCCATTTACTTCTACAAGGGACATACGGAGCCGACGTAAAGTGTATACCTAACAACAAAGAGCGCTACATGTCCGTAACCGTAGGCAAGTTGAAGTTCCTAGATTCACAGCAATTCATGGCGGACTCCTTAGCAAACCTCGTGAAATACAACACGGAGTTCCCCATTTCCAGTCAATACGGCGCAGAAAGGAAAGGAGTGTACCCATATGAGTACATGGATTCCTGAGAGCGCTTTGAAGAGCCCCTACCACCCAAAGAGAGATTCTACAGCACCTTAACCGAGTCTGGAATAAAGGACGAAGAGTACCAGCACGCATTAGATGTGTGGCAGAAGCATGATTGCTAAACGATGGGGGACTACCACGACATTTACTTGAGGTCTGACGTAGTGCTGCTTGCAGATGTTTTCCAAAGCTTTCGAAAGATGGCAATGGAATACTACGGGTTGGATCCAGCGAACTTCTACACGGCTCCTGGGCTTAGTTGGAGTGCGCTGCTAAAGAAGACAAACGCGCAACTGGATCTCCTRACGGAATACGACATGTACCGGTTTATGGAAGACGGTATTCGTGGTGGCGTTTGCGGGCCCAGCAGACGATACGCCAGAGCAAACAATCCCACAGTAGAGTACGACCCAGAGAAACCAACCACATACATATTTTACTTAGACGCTAACAACCTCTACGGCTGGGCAATGTCGCAGTACTTACCCGTAAGAGATTTCGAATGGGACAAAGTGAAACCGATAGACTTCTACATGCGGGTAGGTAAAGAAGACGACAAAGGTTACGTCTTAGAAGTGGATTTGGAATACCCAGCGCACCTGCACGACGCGCACGATGAGTTCCCGTTAGCACCAGAAGCGATAGAGATACCGTTTAAGCAGCTGAGTCCGCTGCAAAAGCAAATGTGTCCCGGATACAAACCGTACAGGAAACTAACTATGAACCTGATGGACAAGAAGAAGTACGTGGTGCATTACCGCAACCTGCAGTTCTACGTGCGACATGGAATGCGAGTAACGCACATACACCGCGTTTTGAAGTTAACGCAGGAACCATGGATGCGCTCCTACATTGACTTTAACACACAAAAGCGTACGCAGGCAAAGAATGACTTTGAGAAGAACCTGTTCAAACTATTGAACAACAGCGTATTTGGTAAGACCATGGAGAACATTCGCAAGCGCGTAAGCATAAAGATAGCCAGCACCAGAGAGGAAGCAGAAGCATACGTGTCACAGCCTGGATTCGTCAGATACGTAGAAATGTTAAACTTCTACGTGATTCACATGAAGAAAGCTAACCTATTCCTGAATAAGCCCGTATACACTGGGTTTACAGTGATAGACCTATCAAAGTTGCTCATGTATGAGTTTTACTACGATAAGCTAAAACCGAAATACGGCGACAAATGCCGCCTTTTATACACCGACACCGATTCCTTGATACTAGAGRTGCAGACGGAASACATTTACGAAGACTGCGTTCCCGACATCGATGAGTACGACACCAGCGATTACTCGCGCGACCACTTCCTCTTCTCTGCGAAGAATAAGAAAGTAATCGGGAAAATGAATGATGAGATGAAAGGAAAACCCATAGTAGAGTACGTGGGGCTAAAACCAAAGATGTACAGCGTGCTAAAGCTGGACGGTGTAGAAAAGAAAGCTAAAGGCGTAAAAAAATACGTGGTTAAGAAGGACATAACCCACGATTCCTACTTAAAGGTCTTACGAACACGCAAGGAACAGCGGCATAAGATGAACAGCCTACGCAGCTACGGACATCAAATACACAACGTTACGCAAGAGAAGGTGTCCCTGTCAGCATTTGATGGTAAGAGATGGATGTGTGATGATGGTATCCATACGATAGCATTCGGACATCACACGATAAGTAGTTCTTCTTTGACGAACCCACGCGTGGGACCATCATGAAGATAATACAAGATGGGTTGACCCTTCTTAGCTATCGCACTTCGGATCTGGTAAGTTTCCAAAGACCAATTAGGATCCGTAGCTCTTTTGGATCCTCCTTCTAATTCACCTGGCTCATAGAGATATCGAACCGTGACATCGCCTATTCTCTTTTCCTGGGGGAAGACCGGCCTTGAACTTCTGACGTAGGACTTGTGTTCCACGTGTTTCTTTTTTATGGCATCCTTGGGTTTCATTCCCGTAGCCCTGGCTACCTCGTTGTTCAAAGCCACGATGACCTGGGGGAGTCTCTGGGTCCATTCCCTGTTGCGTTTGGAGG